GCAGGAAGCTAAAAATCAGGAGCCAAAATTAACTTACTGCCCCTCTAGTCCCCCCCCATGTTTTTTGTATATTGCACAGCAAACTGTTTGCTGCAGGAGTGAGTGAAGTCATTCATTGAGTGTCCCTGGTGGGAAGCTAATTACTAAAGTAGTCATAGCATACGCTGTATTTAATACTTCAGTGAAATGTTTAGGCTGATTAGATGTTTTTCATACGAAGTTTCAGTTAAATCAATTCTTAAGTCTGTGGGTTTTTTCTTTTTTCTTTTGTATGTTAAGACTGGTTTTTTACGTGTGCGCAAGAGGTACCAGACTCGATGAGTTTCCATCGAAATGTCGGAAAAGGCAGGTCAGAACACAAAAGCAAAGGATGGGAAAACAAAGTATGCAACGCTCAGTCTATTTAATACTTACAAGGGAAAGTCACTGGAAACACAGAAAACCACAGGTGAGTAAATTGAATTGACTTATTTTTGTTCTGCAGCTATCACAGTTTTAATTGGTCATGTAGCTATGTGACCATTGAAACAAAGCAAGATATGCCAAATTTATTATAACAAGCTGGTTTGTTACTATATGGTTAACTGTTCTAGGTGTAGAATGACTTGGTTACTTTTAATATAGCATTTCAGTGTTGGGAGTTAAAGTATTTCCAACCCAGCAGAAGTTAGAATACTGCTGAAAGTTTTTATAAATACCATGTTCTCAAAATATGGTTACAGTTTATATTACCTGGTTACTTCTAGTCCATAGTACTACAGTAAAATAAACAGTTGAGGGAAAACAGTGACTTTGACTATACCTTCATCTTTAAAATGGTTGAGAGCCTTCAGCTTGAGGGGATTGCTCATGTCCCTTCAGTGTGCAGTCCACTGAATACTTCTTTTGAATTGGAGTAAATTATTTGATCCAAGTCATAAATCTGCTTAGTCTTTGAATCTCTCTGGATTTTGATTGACTGGTCCCTCAAACATTTCAAAATATTTTTAACAGGATGTATTTATTAATGGTGTATCATGAAATTAAGACAGCTGATTGTCTATAATTTATTGACCCAAGAAAAACTGGGGCCCTCTGATCCAGTTTCATTTTCATTCTGAGAATGCCAAAGATAACCATTGAACCTCTTTCTTTGAGAATTATTCCAGTGTGATGGAAAGCAAATGTTTTATAGCTCCCCACTTCAAAATGATGTGAGACTTTTTCAGTGCAAGGCAAGGAGCCTGGTGGGTGATACCTTTTATTGGACCACCTGTATAACTGGAAGAGACATAGATGAGCTTTTGGATACCACTGTACCCTTCCTCACTGGTACCCAAAGCCAGTCTGTCACTCCTAGCTCTGCATTAGGTCCAATAAGAGAGATCACCCACAACAATCTTTAGTCTTAATACGCTTATTTGGGACCATCATGACCACATCACCTTCCTGACATTACCATGAAACGTCAAGACATTTTTCTTAGTAAGAGACAGCTGTCATAAGTTTTTTGGTTTTTTTTTATTTACTTACTTATTTTGTACCTGTTTCTTCTGACAAAATATTTTTTTGTTCCAAAAGCAGATACTTTGAAAAAAGTGAATTTTATGGAAAAATAACATAATTTCCCTGCCCCACCCTTTTAATCTATATAGTTGCCACACGCCATGGATTACAGAGTCTGGGAAAAGTTGCCATTTCTCGGAGGATGCCTCCCCCAGCTAACCTTCCTAGTCTTAAAGCAGAGAACAAAGGCAATGATCCGAATGTAAACATTGTGCCTAAGGATGGCACAGGATGGGCTTCTTCTAAACAAGAACAGCATGAGGAAGAAAAGTAAGTTTATAACAGTGGCCAGTAGGTGTCACTTACTATAGTTTGTTACAGTCTTATCCTACAGTAGAAATCTTTTTAAAGATACAGGAAAACTGAATGAATTGATAGACTTCTGTGTCAAACCTCAGGAGTGCCAGAATATTATAAAGGAAATGGTATTATAATGACTGTCAGTGGGGTGGCTTTTTACTAGTTGAGGAACAGTTTGAAAAGAAACTCATGCTGAAGTCAGCATGCCAAACTATGTTCCAAATGAAAAGATGTTGAAGGCATTGAATTTTGACAGAAAGAATCTAGTCTTCTTGTCTATACTTGGTCATAGATTTTTGTCCTTCTTGCTAAAGCCCTGAAATAGGGATGTAATGCTGTTTTTAAAAAAGGCCATTTAACCTCCTCTAATTGCATCAGTTAACCTATAACACAACATCTCAGACATGGCTCCTGTGGTAGTATTTCCTGGTTCCTGGGCCCTTTGGGGGCAGGAGAGAAGTGGTGGCAAGCCTCCTGACAGCACAACCTGTGAGAGTGTGGCCTGGGAGGGAGGGAGCACCTGTGAACCAGCAGCAAATTGCTTAATTAGCTAGTCATTAGGCTGCCCACTGTTTTCTTTATTAACCTCATATGCTGTGTGTACTAGTCCCCTTCCACTCCCGCCTGCCTGCTCTGCTGCCTTCCTGTTCTTACTAGAGAACTGCATAGCTTCCTTCCCCTGCCCCCTACTCCCTGCTGGACTGTGCTCTTCCCCATGCTAAACAGCAACTGGTAAGCTGGAACCAGTTATCACTGGGCTTACCGGTTATACAATTAATCCATTAACGTTTCACATCCCTGCCATGGATGGTGACTGGTCATAATTTTGGTCAATTCAGCACTGCTGTTAGAGCTTAAGGCACGGGTGGGCAAAATGGCAGATCTGGCTGGTGGCCAGACTCCATTTCCCAGCAGTTCCTGCCCATGTCACTGTGACAAGTTTCCATGGAGACCCCAGTAGTGGCAGTGCCATGACAGTGTGGGGTCAAGGTTTCCATAAAGATTGGCCCCAGCAGCTCTGGCTGGGCGAGGAGCTGCTCTGAGGCCGAGGCTGGGATCTTGCGGTGGTGATAGCATGGCCTGCAGCCAGGGCATGTAGGCAGTGGATCAGCCCTGCCCCAACTCCAGACCATGTTGTCACCATTGCAGGATCTCAGCCCTGTAGCAGCCCCCTTCACAGCTGCTCACCCTGTCAGCACTCCTAGAGCCGGCAGCGGCAACACAGACTGGGGCAGCTGGGAAATGGAGTCTGCTGGGGGCCTGATCTGGCCCTGGGGCTGGACTTCGCCCCGGCCTAAGATGATTGAAACAGCTTTTTGTTCTACTGTTTGTTACTACACTTCTATTTAATGCTTGTAAAAACAAGAAATCATGCAAGGTTTTTCTCTTTTGTGTTTTTGTCATCCCTTTAGTGTATAGCAAAGCAATAAACTTAACATACATACGATGAGGCTTTGTCCCCAATCAGCGTGGGGGAAAATGTTCCTCGTCTTACATTCGCGTACAAGAAAACCTCATAAAATGCCTCATTAAAATGCTGCCAAAAGCAGTATGTGGTCAGTAATGGAAACCAACTGTGAAGTTGATTAAATGCAGCCAACACTGAGCAAGCCTGCAAAAACACACGGCCTATAGTGGGCAAACATACTGATGACAGCCTACAACAAGGATAGGTTAGTTCAGCCTGCCTGAATAAGATATGTGGTAATGCCCATTGAGCATTGTTCCCCTTAGCACTGACTCTTTTTCAAGTCATGGTGTGCCATTGCACTGAATACATTTTGATTTCCTCTTCACTCTCACAGTTTAGCTGTGCCTTTGTTTTCCTACTTCCAGTGATTATTGTTTTTTCACCACCTTTAAATGTCTGTCTGGTGAACATCACCAACCAGGGCCCCAAGCAATTCACCCAGAATCCCCATCGCCCCTTCAGCCTATCGTATATGATTAGTGTGCCCCCCTCCCATGAAATATTGCTGAACCAGGTTGCCTTGTGCCTCACCTGCGTATTTGAAGGATCCCAGGATTCCTGACAAGAACACCTAGCTGTAGTCATGGTCAAGGGTATGTTAATTAGCACATGGATCCTTTGTGGTGGATAGCCTGTGTGTACACACATACTGCTGAGCTGCAGGGTCACCATGGCTTGAAATGCTGTTTGTGCTGGGGCCCAGCCCAATGAACTATATGGTAAATGCTGGCCCTTCTGGCTTTGGACTAACATCATGCATAGTTTGTACTATAAGTAGGTACAAATGTGCTGCTTAAAAGTGTGCTTATGGAGTACATATGCTAAAACTTGTAGCAGTTTCATTTAAAAAAAGAAAGTAAAATGCATCAATTCTGGATGAATTAAGTCTGTGGATACTCATAGTAATTTGCCTATATGTAGCTTACTACAGGCAAGGTTGTTTCAAAGTTAGTGTTTTTGCATTTGTCCCTCATTTCCATGTGCTTAGGGAGAGTAGAGTCTGATGGTAAGGGGAGCTGGGGGCAGGGAAAGGGATTGCAGGGGGGAAGAAGGTGGAGGGACAGAGCGCAAAGGAGCTACCTGACCCCCTGCCAGATTTATTTTCCCTGCTGTAGTAGTTGGAGGGGGACAAATTTAAGGCAAACCTCTAATGATTAGATTTGACACCTGGAAAATCATAATACGTTTTATAAAATTTCCATATCTAAAATCTAATTATTGGGGTTTTTTCTTTGTATTCAGGGTCATCTTATATTTGAGTAAATATGATGACTGCTAAGGGCATGGAGACACACAACACACAATGGTTTCAATACAGTTTAAACTCGAGACAGACAGACATACAAGCCTGTTAAACTGATTGAAAGTCACTTGGAACAGTTCAAATGCACATGAAAATTTTGTCATTAAATACTTTTGAAACTGTCCCTCAACTACTTAAAATGTATTCTTATTCAAAGGTCTCTGCCACTTCAAGTATTTATTTTTTGCTCTGGTGTCTCATAGGGCCCTTTAGATTTCCTCCAGAGTAGTAACAGGGCTCAGGTGGATCCTGTAAGCCTCTTGAAACATGAGAAGATAAGTTATTTTTGTTTTAAAACCAAGAGAGGCTCAAAGAAATTAAGCATGACTGTTTTTGAGAGACTCGGCTCCTTTGAGAAGAAATATAAGGGGAAGAATGACAGCAAATGAAAGCTATCATTTTTTTTCTTTTTTTTCACCTTTCCAAAATAATTGTGAATTAACTTTCTAATCAATAGAACAATAAAGGAGAGAGAAACAGTGTTCTTAGGAACATTTCTGTTGTAAGGTGCTTGCAATCTCATACTTTTCAGTACCTTTATAAATTTACTTGGCTGACATTGGGAACTTAGTCTATTTTACTTTTAAATATAGTTTTGTATGCCTTTTCTGGTTCAGTCTCCATCTTCCTGTGTACAAAACATTTAAATAAAGTATTAACATCTCATCTTTTGTAGCTGTTCCTTGCATAACCTCAAAACTGACAGTCTTAACACAAGTTAACTGACCCTGGCTCTTAATTACTCTGCTGTTTTTTCTTCTTGCTTAAAAAAAAAAGTGAGAGAGGGGGCTAGGTGTGAGAGACTTACAAAGTACTTGTTTTTACTTTCAAGTAGCATACAACTTTTAAATATTTTGTTGCACAGATAAATAGTTGATACTGAGAAGAGACAGTTCTGTTCGATAGAATGTGCTTGAGGCCATGTAGGGTTATTAACTTCGGGGGGGGGTTTTAACCACCTCTTCTCTTCCCCACTATGCATCCCCATGCCAGAATGTTGAGGCAAAGCACAATACAAAAATAAAATAAAAATAGGTGTATGACTTGTTCTGTTCTGGAACTTCAGTTTCTGTCATTCATAGGGGTTAAGGTTACATGTCTGACCACCGTTGCATCACAGATCCCTAAATATTTTCTAGTTACCTTCCATATTGAGCCCAGTAACCTGTACTTGACAGGCATACCTTCCAGAAAGATACCGTATCTTTATTTGAAGAGATTGAGATGAAGAATCTATCACTTTAGTAGCTTGTTCCATTTTTAATCAACCCAGCTTCACTTGTTCCTGACTTCCAGTTTGTCTGACTTGAGCATCCAGCCATTGATTCTTTCTCCTGTTACCTTACAGTCTTGTAGTACCTGTTACTTTCTCTCAGGAAGGTGTATATGCACCTAAACAAAGGATCTCTTGATTATTTCGCTTATGAAAAAATTAACTCCGTGTCTCACTAAAGTAATTTTTTTTTTTTTTTTTTTCAAATCCAGTTTAAGCATAATTTTTTGTGGCTCGTTTCTGAACCCTTTCCAGTTTTTCAACTTCTTTCTTAAAATGGGGTTACCAGAACTATATACAATGTTCTAGTATCATTTTCATCCATGTTTTATATGGAGGTGAAATAACCTTTCAGCTCCTATTTACTATTTGTTACATCCTTAGATTGTTAATTCTGTTTAGCTGAAGCATTGCACTGGGCATTCATGTAAAATTCTCTACAGTGTAACTCATAAGAATTTTTTTGGAGTCGCTGCTTTACAGTATTCAGTCACTTTAAGAACTGGTTGCATTCTTTGTTCCAAGATGGTATAACTTCATTTGGCTGTGTTAAAATGTATTTAGTTTAAATAGGCCAAGTTTTTAACACCAAGTTGCACAGATCATGTTGGCTAACCTATCCTCATTTACTTTTCCATCAATCTTTGCAAGAATTACAAATTTTATCAGCAGTAACTTAAAGAATCCTTTGTAATTGATCTCTATGGAACACCACTCAAAACACCTTTGTTGAAGAATAATTGTCTGTTCATAGCCACTCTGAGATCTGTGCACCAATTTGTAATCTCTTTTAAAGGCCGCTGTATAGATATTGTACAGCACTAATTTTGATCAAAAGTGTCATGCAGTACCAAGACACACACCTTTTGAAATATTACATTTATGCAGTTAAAATCTCTAAAATACTTCAATATGTAATCTCAGAGAATGACATGAAATCTATTTGGCCAGGGTAACTGTAGGTCTGCTCTCCCTATTGGTACAGACCATAGCAACAAGAAACTAATTATTTTACTAGCTTTTAATTGAATCGCAGCAACTTTATAATTATTACCTATGATTAATTTCTAGCAAACTGACCTATAGTTAACCTGGCCATCCATACTGGCACTGTATTAGCATTAGTCTCCTGAAATTTTTATGCTGTTTCCTGATTTATTAAAAATAAACATCAGTGAACCAGAGGTTTCCATTGCCAGCTGGTTAAGCATTTAAGCACTCACAGTGCAAGTTTCTTGACCTGTTTATTTATAAATATTTGCCATGGTAGGTATTCAACACTCTCTTTTGAACTAAAGGAATAGAAAGTATTATGCTATCTTGTAATTACAGCCACATTGCTCTGCATCTTTTGAAATGCAAAGGAGGGCTATTTATTGCACACTTGGTTAATACCAACCATCTAATAATGGGCCTATACATTTGTTAAGATTTCTTTTGAAATCTAATGCACTTTAAATTGTTGTCTGATCCCTGATAATACTGGAATTTTCCTGTGTCTTTTTAGGTTCCTTTCTTGATATTCTGTGACCTCAGAATTTTTAATTTGATATACAGTGGTCTGCTATCAATGTTCTGCCGTTTATAATTTCTAATTTACATTAATTGCCACTTGTTTTCCCTCTGTCCTTTTTTCCCTTCGTTGCTTCATTCACCTCGCCACTCAGCAAAATAATGTCGTGTGTCGTCGTACCCCCCGCAACCTATACCCTACCACAGTCCCCCCCCCCCCCCCCCCCATCATCCTTTTCCTTGATTGTGGATTTGTATTGTTATGGCTTTAATAATTCCTACAAAAATATCCACTTTTTCCTCCAAGACGAATCACTGTTTTCTTTAGCTTTAGGAAAGTGGCTCGTGGAAGTACCATCTAGGTATCTTCACATTCTTCAGAGCTCTTAGTTTATTGTCACAGGGAAACAGAATAAATTAAAAGTCTGGACAAAATTGCTCGTTCTCTCCTCAGAACAGATCTTCTGAATCCATGAAGAACAGTTTGTTTAATTTTTAATCTTTTCTTTTAATTTCAGACCGCCAGAAGTGCCACCAACACAGCCAAAACCTGCACCACCACCTCCTCCTCCTCCTCCACCAGAAGCACCTCCTGTTGCCAAATCGTGGGCCAGTACCAAGCCAGGTGGGCAAGGCGATGGTAAGTGATGTTAAAAGTGGAGGAAACCTGAGCTGGCCCAGAGGCCTACTAGCTGTGCTTTGCACTCCTATGTGGGAGACCTGGTTTCAATATTCTTTTGCTCCTAGTCTCTTGTTGCCTGGGTCAGCAAGGGCTAGGAAAGTTGTGGAGACAACTTTTTTGGTCCTAAGGTGAAGGAGTGCCTTGTCACTCAAGTGAACCTCCTAAGCACCTTGTCAGCAGTGTTAAGTGACTCAAAAAGAAATTGTATGGTCTTATATTTGGTAGTAAGGAAAATAATGGCTATGATAGGAGACCATGAGTGTGGCAGTCTTAAGGACAGGGGAGAATCTTCTGGTTGTGCAGAAATATGTGCAAGTCTTGCATGGGGAAGGGAAATGGTAAACATTTGGTCCAGTTACTAATCATGCATTGGTTATCACTAACACTTATCTGGAACCGTGACATTTACCAACTTGTTTGGATGCATGTTACAGCATAAGGGGTGAGGGGCGGTTCTAATTTTTACTTGATAGAACTTTTAAGTCTCAAAATATTGGCACATGTAGTTTTTCTGAGAGAAAATTAAAGGGTTTTTTAACACAATATTAAAAAAGGTAAATTATTTCTATGGGTATAGGTTATTGGCACAGAAAATTAGCCAGTTGTCTCTGACTTCAAGATGTACTTAGTACTGCTGTGCAAAATGGCACTGTTCTATTTTGATGGAACAGCGTTTTCTTTCGAATTTCGTTTAGATTCGAAACTGCTGTTCCATTTCGTTTTATCGAAACAAGTTTCACTGTTTCAATGCTGTTTCAGCATTTCACCTGTAGGCTATAATGGGGAAGCTCGAAACAGTCTATAACTTTGTCATTTCTGGCCTGATTTGGATGAAACTTGCAGGAATGGTAGCCCCTTCGGAGGGCATGAAGTCTGCCAAGCTTCAGGGAGATAGGTGCAAGGGTTTTGGGGAAACTGCACCTCAAGTCTTGAAAGCAAAAACCTCATTTCACATGTATGTGTTAAGCCACAGCGGGGTCAAAACTGCAGGCTTGCTAGCTCCTGCTGAGGCAGCAAAGCCTGCCAAGTTTCAAGGAGATATAGGTGCAGGGGTTTGTGGGAAACTGTACCTCAAGCTGCGGACAAGCAAACCTCATGACATGGGTGACACTGTTTGTTAAGGCGCAGCAGGGTGAAAGCTGCAGGCCTGCTAGTCCTTGCTGAGGCCACAAAGCCTGCCAGCTTTCAAGGAGATGGGTACAGGGGCTTCTGGGTTCTGGGGCCCTGCACCTTTGGCTGCTGAAAGCCAAACTCGTGGCATGGGTGCTTGTGGGACTGTCTTGGGGCATAGGGGGGGTGAAAACTGCAGGCCTGCTAGGCCCTGTTGCGGCCACAAAGCCTGCTAGCTGTCAAGGAGATAGGTGCAGGGGGAGTCTGGGTTCTGGGGCCCTGCACCTCTAGCTGCTGACAGGCAAAACTTGGTGGGGGGGTGTTAAGGTACACCCTCACTCAACTGACACCAAGCCAAAAAGCAGGGCAGTTTAAACAGTGCTGCCTTTTATGCAGTTTTTCTATCCCGCCCCCCGAGCACTGGGATTGGAAGAGGCCTCAGGAAAGGATGATGGTCACAGGCCAGCTACATGGTCAATAATGAGAGCGGTCCTCTTCTTCCCCCCCCCCCCCCCTCCCCCCCCCCTC